TGTCCTAAAGTATCATCATTAGTATGAGAGTTCTGGAGGTTCCACACCCCGGGGTTTCCTCCAGTCCAAGTGCAAAGGCGCTTGTGACCGGTCGGACTGTTACTATCAAGACCGCCTGGATATTCCACATCCGTTATGCAGAGTGGAATCCCCCTGATGGTGAAATCAGCTGTGGGTAAAGTCTTTGTTGTGGGTGTTTGTGGCATTTCTCTGCCACCAAAGAGGAGTGTGGCATTGCCCTGTAAGATGATCTCAGGGGTAGCCTCTTCCCACGTCAGGATTTGTCTCTGAGCGCCTTCTACCAGGATCCATCTCTCCACTCCCGCCTCCTCCTGTTGCTGCAGTGTGGCCCTGGACAGGGATGCCCAGGGCACTGGAGCTGATGCAACCTGTGGCAAAGTCCCGATCACACAAAAAAGTGAAAACAGTTTACTCAGTTTAGTCATCCTGTCTTTCCCTTCTGCTCTCTCTGAATTTTCTGTTGACTGTGTTTCTTCTCCCGTCCTTGTTGTTTCTCCCGGGGCTTCTTCAACTCGTTTTGTTCTTCTTTCTGGTACCCAGCGGCTCCAGCCATCAGGATCTGTAAGACATAAATACCCCGGCCCTCTCCACAAACTACAGGTGGGCCTTGCCAGTTTCCCTCATCGTCCTTCCAGAGGACTTTCTGGTTAAGGGATGGTGCATGTAGTGCTGTTTTTAAGGAGCCAATTGAATTGCAAGTGGGTGGTGTTATCAGCTGTAGCATGCTGGGGGATAGGCCCGTGTCTCTATCTAGACAGAGAAAATTGTATGTATATAAAGCTTTATCCACGTCTGCTTGGGTAGGCCACCGGCCGGAGCCCCGACCTCCTACTCCCCCTTTTTGTTTAGTGAGGGTAGCTTTCAAGGTAAGATGGGCTCGCTCTACCATAGCCTGACCTGTGGGGTTATAGGGGATCCCCGTAACATGCTTAATGCCAAAGGATGTAAAGAAAGCAGTCATTTGTTTAGATAAATAGGCAGGCCCATTGTCAGTTTTAATGACGTGAGGGATCCCTACAGAGGCAAAGCAATGGTACAGGTGCTTAATAACTGATGGGGTGTTCTCCTTACTGGATACAGTGGCCATTATAAATTTGGAAAAAGTGTCAATGCAGACATGGATAGCGACACGGCCAAGGTGAGTGACATCCATTTGCCACAAGTCATTGGGAAGAAGACCTCGTGGGTTAATCCCCTTTCTGGGTGGAGGGGGGAGAAAAGGAACACAGCGCACGCATCGCCTCACAATTTGTCGAGCCTGTTCACCAGTTAAACCATACAGGCGTCTCAGGGAGCTCGCTGGTAGGTGTAAAAATTCATGGGCTTGTTCAGGAGGCGTGAGGACTGGCAGTAGGGAGCACTGTAAAGCACGATCCGCTACATCATTGCCCTCAAAAATGCCTCCTGAGGTGGACTGATGAGAATAAACATGGAGAATATAGAGGGGGTTGTTTCGCTGCAACAAAATTTGCTGTAGCTCACTCAGGAGAAAGGATATGGTGGAATTATGAGGTTGGAGGACAGCGTCCTCTATGCATCTAAGAACCTTTACTGCATATTGACTATCAGAGATTATGTTTATAGGCTCAGGATATTTACGGCAAGCATGGAGGATGGCAAAGAGCTCATTTTTCTGGGTAGAGTCATAGGGGGTTTCTAAAGTTTCTTTTACCAATCTTGCTAGTGTCTCATCAGTGCTAGTGGCTAATAAAATATCGTCCATATAAGGAAGCATTGTGGCTTTAGGCCATTTGTCCCTGATAGGGTCCAGCACTCTCCCCACATAAGCCTGGCATAAGGTGGGACTGCAGCACATTCCTTGGGGCAGGACCTTCCACTGATATCTTAAATCTGGTCCTGCATTATTGGTAGTGGGTATGGTAAAGGCAAATCTCTTTCTATCTTCTGGGGATAATGGGATAGAGAAAAAACAATCTTGGATGTCTATGACTGTCACAGGCCATCCAGAAGGCACTAAATTAGGGGAGGGGAGGCCAGGCTGTAGGGTGCCCATGGGCTCTAGGGTGGTGTTAACCACCCTGAGATCTGTTAACATTCGAAATTTCCCTGATTTCTTTTTTATTACAAACACTGGGCTGTTCCAGGGGCTGGACGTGGGCTCAATGTGCCCCACCTGTAACTGGTGCTGCACTATATCACGTAAAGCCTGGGCTTTCTCTGCAGGGAGAAGCCATTGGGGTACCCAGACTGGGTTATTAGATCTCCATGTTAGAGGAGTGGGTCTGATACAAGAAAATTTCTCTTGTTGCCCAACGGCCCCAATTAAAAATCCTGCGGGGCTGGTATATAAACAGATGCCCCACAAGCCTTCAAAATATCCCTTCCCCATAAATTGTATCTCAAACCAGCAACCACTAGGGTCAATTTGGAAATTTCCTTTGCTGTAAAGGGGAAGTCCGAACCACCGGGTAGAAGTCGGAGATATTCCTGATGCAGCCTTGAAGGCGCATTCTGAGGGGGTGGAGCTTCTATCTGGTAAGCTTGTTGAGGGGCCCTCGAGGGCCCCTTGCCCCGTTTCCCGACTTCGGCTTGCAGCACTCCTTAGCATAATGTCCGGATTTGTTACAATTGTAACAAATTACCTTGGGGCGGGCTCCACCAGGTTTCTGGCGGCATTGCGCCTTGAAATGACAGGCTTTGCCGCATAGATAGCACAATTTAGTCTCTTTTGTTTTCAGCACTTCTGATAGCCCTTTCTAAACGGCCACCTGTAGGCGGGCCACGAAATCTGGGAAGGGTTTATCAGGACCTTTTTTAATCTTGGTCAAGGAGGGCCTTTGTTTCCCCAAAGCCTGACTTACTAAAAGCCCGTTGGGCACATTGGGAGACAGCTGCAAACACTGTATTTACTGCCTCTTTTAACTCCTTAAATTTCTTCCATTCTAAAGGGGCCCAGGTCCTCCCTCCATCGGATAAGTGTGGGGGAGGGGGCCACCCCTCAACGTGATAGGCAGAGCTTTCCTTGCTACGGCTTCCTGCTCTCTTGCTCCTACTCTCCTGCTCCTGCCCCCCTGCCCAGCCTTGCTTTCTTTTCCCTTGCTTATTCTCCCATTCCCTGTCTCCAGTGTCCTCTGCCTCACTCCCTGATTCTTCCTCACTACTGATTTCTGCTTCTTTCACTCTTTTATATACTTCTTTCCCTAGCACCTCCCGATCCGGGACCTTAACAAACATCTGTCCCATCTTCCTTCCTTCACCCGATTGGCTACGGGTCTCGTCTCTCTTCCCACGACCAGACCAGCTGATCCGCAGGGCCCCTGGCCTATTTCCTCCACCCCACGTTGGGCGCCACTTGTGCCAGCTATGCCGTACACTCTCCTCCTATAAGGAGCAGGCTGCCAGAGTCATACTTACCAGTCTTCGGTGCCTACCCGGATAAACACACGGAGATGAGCCGATCAGGAGGTGCCAACACTGGAGCTTTATTCAGAGGCCATCACAGCAAGGCCAAGCAGGAAGGCCAGAGCAAGAGAGGAGGAGCAAGAGAGAGCACTCCAATCTCTACTGTTCCTTAAGTACCTACTTAGCCCCTCCTCCTCAGCCCGCCTACTAGTCATTGATTGTAGGATCAGATACTGGAAGGCGACGTCTGGGTTTAGCGCACCAAGGGAGAGGAAGTGACGCAGGAGGCTAGGACCGGATACAGGAAGGAGGTGCCTGGGGTTAGTGCATAGACGAAGGGAAGGTACGTGACCCAGGAAGTCAGGCGCAGATACCGGGAGGAGGTGTCTGGGGTCAGTGCTACACAAAGGGAAAGTCCATGACCCAGGAAGTCAGGAAGGACACAGGAAGGAAGCGTCTGGGGTTAGCATTGTACCTAGGGAGGGGGCTAGACAAAGGAACTTGATCTCTGCCATCCCACTCCCACGTGGCACAGCCCCCTGCCTCAGGAGCACGTGCTCCGGCTACTTCCTTGTATCCTGTTCCTTCCCCAGCTTCTCACAGCTCCACATAGCACTGCCCACTGCCTCAGGAGAGTGAGCTCCGGTTACTTCCTAATATCTTGTTCCTACCCCATCTTGCCACAACTCTCACTTGGCAGTAGCCAACATCAGACAATCCCTCACATATATATATATATACACATATATATAATTTTTGGTTCTGTTTGCATTTCCTAATTCGTGCTTGGAATGTGTTGCGCACATTTAATGAGTCAGTGGGAGGGGATCGGCATCGGCCTCCCCGGCTCCAGGTGAGGGTTACAATAAAGAGCTCTTGGCAAGACCTCCCTCTCCCCAAGCCTATGTTTCTTCTGCTTCTCTGCCACCAGCCTACAGAAAAGGGTTTTTTCTTAAAGCTTTCTAATTGATCGATCCTGGCTTTCCTCAAGAGAAGAGGGTTGGGCTTTGATCTGCCAAGGATGGCCCAGGTGGATCCTTCAGCGATCATGACACCCTCCTAAGAATAAGGAAGAGCCCGGCTCCCAAAGTGATGAGGCCAGCCCCTTTTTGGTCTGGTGGGCCTGGGGTCTGCCACCATCCATCACAGGTGGGAGGAGGAGGGTCCTGGGAATACTTCAAGAAAGACCTCCAGCTCTTGGGGAGGGTGGGACCTTTCTTTACACTTTCTTCTTTTATTTATTCAGTGAACTCTTTAAAAAAAAAAAAAAACGTTTCAAATTCTGGAATTCATCTGAAGCTGTTCGAGCTTGGGGGAGGCAGGGGGAGGAAGGGGGAGGAAGAGGGGCAGTGAGTGAGGACCTGGCTGCTTTGTGAAAAAAACAGATATCAGCACCGGCATGGAGGCCAGCGCTCCTCTCCCCTAAGACCTTGGCACTCTTTTCTCCTTCCCTCCCACTCTCGGACAGTCACGGCCCAATTAATCAGTATTGATCAAACTGGCTTTACACCCACCCCGCGCCCCCCCGCCCCAGCCTCCGGAGGAGGAAGAGGAGGAGCCGAAAGGACCCAAACACCTCCATAAAGCTTTAGTTTGAAAGAGGCCAGGGCGGTGGGATGTTCTTGTGTGTCTGCGCGCCTGTGTACCTGTGTGCATTGTGCGTGCGCATGTACCTCTGTGTGTTTGTGCGTCTTATTCTGTGTACCACGTGTCCCTGTCTGCCTGTGTACACCTGTGCATACCTGTCTGCTTGTATCTGCGCGTACGTACGTGCGCGCGCCCAAGGGAGGTGAGCAGGCGGCCC